GGTTAACATTTTTAAAAAAGAAATTTGAAATTGAAGTTGGAAAAAGAAAGGGAAAAGACAAAGAGTAAGATGCGAGAGAGCACGACTCGTTTTTAAAATACAAAGATCGAGAAGCGTTATCGTGAAGCGCGGGTATGCGCGAGTTTTGACTGAGTACGTGTGATATTACGTCGTGAATGAATAACCGCGTTCGATGAGAGCGAATGAACAACTAAGCCGGTCATATCGTCTAGCTCGAGACACGAAAAACAAAGTTATTCTTGTTTTTCTCCTGTGTTTATGTTTTTTAGGGTCCCAGCCTAGTTGTTCATTCGCTCGCATCGAACGCGGTTATTCATTCACGACGTAATATCACATGTAGTCAGTCAAAACTCGCGCATACCCACGCTTCACGATAACGCTTTTCGATCTTTGTATTTTAAAAACGAGTCGTGCTCTCTCGCACCTTACTCTTTGTCTTTTCCCTTTCTTTTTCCAACTACAATTTCAAATTTCTTTTTTAAAAATGTTAACCGATAAAGAAAAGATAATGCTGTTTCTTTATCGAAAATTTGGAGACCATATTAGATCATACGAAGAAGTAACTGATCTACACATTCAATGCTGCATATCCTGATCGCAATTTTATTTCTAAATCCATCGTTCAGAAGACAGTGATACGTTTTTACGAAACAGAAACAGTTAAAGACCAAAATCCTTTCAAGTCTTATAACTCTAAATATGCCTAATAAAAAAATACTTTATTATAGGTTTTTGGAAATCCCTTGAAATAAGCTACAAGAATATGTAATAAAAAGTGGGAGGTCCCACTTAAAAAAAATTCAATTTGACCTTCGTATGACCTTCGTCCTCCACCCAAAGTCAAATTTTTAGTCATCATTAGGTACATTTTATTAAGCCCTACAACTTTGCTACTTACATATTTTTCGCTACAGTTCCTTTTCGAGATATTTGACCGTTTCCTGACTTTTTGCCAACCCTGTATATGTCACATGCAAATATGTATATATATCTACATGTTTGATGCGTTCTTCACATTCTCCTCCGATAAACCTTTATAAATGAGAACCCACTTTCTATGAAATTTTTCTATGTGACTAGGTGGCTACATTCCAAGACCCCTCACACCGGGCGTGGGTGGAAACGAGGATTTTTTGTAGTTAAAACTTTATGCTATATTTTAACTTTACAAATACACGAGGTACAAGTGCACGGTGTACAAATATACGGGCGTACAACTGCACAGTGTACAAATGCACGATGTACATCTTTTCATGTACAAATTGTCATGGCTCCGCGTTGCTCGAAGCGGTCGGACGACCTTGATGTAGTCGGTCGAGCGATCGTGACACCGATAGGCGGTGGATGTGTTCGCCGGTGTCCAAGGGTTCTTTCGGACGCTCAGGGTTGAGTGTGCGTGGATGTGTGTGTGTGTGTGTGTGTGTATGTGGTGTGTGGGAGAGTGAGAGCACGTCGTCTTTGTAAAAATAAAACAAAATAATTTATTTAACGTTAATTCATTCGGTGCCCCCCGCATGGGTTCCCATCTTGTTGTTGGTGATGGAGCTGTGGCTGCGGTCGGGGCATCCGCTCAGGGATGTTTCCCGGCCGCAGTCATCTAAGAGGAAGAGCCCCCCAAGCCAAGGTGTTAGCAACCGTGCTGAGGGCTGCGTGGCACAGGGGGAGCTGTGTCATGAACGGTGCCTCCCGGATACCTCCGGGAGTACGCTGCCGAGCCCGGATGAGATCGCGCAATCGCGGCTCTGCCCGGATGAGATCGCGCGACCGCGGTACTTGTGGGAACAAGCATGGACACTGGTACAAAAAAAAAAGCAAAAAATAGATGACCTTCTCCAGGGGGTGGCTTCTTTAGGAAATGAACCTAGAGAAGGAGGAAACGACGCGGGATCGAGTACCGACGCTCGGTCCGATTCCGTGGCAAGGAAACTCGCAGAGCCACGCCCGAAAATGAGTGGGGCTGCGAGAAGAAAGCTGAAGAGGCAGCGGGCGAGAGAGAGGGCTGAAGAGACCTCTGAATTGGGTGCTGCCTCTGGAGGCGTAACAGGAGCTCGGAGGGAGGCGGGTCTATCAGGGACGCAAGAGCGCCCCAGACCGGATCTCATGACCCCTAGCCCCTCAGAAAAACGCCTGGATAAGAAGCCCAAGGTCAGTGACCAAGGGTCCTTTGCACAGGCGACTAAGGGAATAGGCACTTATTCAGGGTGGCACTTATTATTGAGGGTTATCCTGAAAACAAGATCAAATTCGGGGAAATAGTCGTTATTAAAAAACTGATTAGGGAAAGGATCCTGGGACTTCCAAGAGGCACCAGGGCTCCCCTCTTTACCGGAGCTTGGGAAAGAGACGGGGCAATTATTTGCGGTTGCGCCGATGTAGAATCCGCGGACTGGCTGAAAAGCCTTTCCTCGGAGTTAAAACTAGGGGAGAACGAGCTACGTGTGCTGCCGTTTGAGGAGCTTCCGAAGCGCCACAGGCGTACACCTAGAGGAGCTAGGATTTGGCTGTCAAGGAGGCGTTAGAACTCCTTGACAGACAAAACGCAGGACTGGCAGCCAGCGAGTGGGTTGTCGTCAGGGGGAGCGAGAGCAGGGACGCCGAAAGCGCTCACTTCGCTGTTCTTATCGGCGACTCCTCTCTGAAGGCTCTAAAGGACTGCGGAATGAAACCCTTCTGCGGGATGGGCCGGGCAACTGTAAGGTTGACTGGCAAGAAACGCGGAAGGGAGGTGGAAGCCGCTGGAACGAAAGAATCTGCATAGAAATGACAGGTCTCACAGTTCCAGTGGTGCAGATTAACTCGCATCACACCAAAGGCGCTTCAGCGATTTTAGCTAGAGGCATGGCTGTGATGCAGACAGCAATAGCACTTGTACAAGAACTATGGCTCTTGAACAACGCTATAAAAGGCCTGAGCGGTAGTGGCAAGATTATCTCGTCCACCACTCAGGAAAAAATAAGGACATGTATAGTGACAAAAAGTCTAAATGCAATCTTAATGCCGCAGTTCAGTAATGGAAATATCACGGTGGTACAAGTGAGGCTTAATCTGGACGAAGGGACCCACAGGGATGTATTGATGGGGTCAGTCTACATGCCCTATGACGCCAAAGACCTTCCACCACAGAGGGAAGTCAAAGAGCTGATGAAATATGCGGAGGAGAGAAGGCTAGAGGTACTCCTGGGTTGCGATGCAAACTCTCACCATGTGGGATGGGGGAGCACGGGCATCAACCCGAGAGGGGAAAGCCTACATGAATTCGTCATGGACAGCAAGCTAATCATCCTAAACAGAGGAACGGAGCCCACTTTCATGGACTGCAGAAGACGTGATAGACCTAACCCTATGTACGAGGGGAGTGGCTGACCTGGTGAGAGACTGGAGGGTCTCAAACGAACCTTCGGGATTGGATCAGGCAGCTACGTTTTGCGCTCGAGCACAAGGAAAAGGGGAAATGGGGTCGCAACCCCAGAAGCACAAACTGGACGAGCTACAGGAAGGACCTTGGCACCATTCTGAAAAAAGCCCCGTCCAGATTTAATACAAAACAGGATCTAGAAGCGGCGTCGCAGTTTGTCAGCGACGCTATCCTAGAGGCCTATGAAGCAAACTGCCCACTAAAGCGGAAACAAGTCTCAACCAAGGTCCCATGGTAGAATAATGAGCTTATTAAGCTCAGGGTTGACACAAGAAGGCTTTTCAATAGAGCAAGAAAGTCAAAAGCGGAAACTGATTAGGCAGCTTTCAGGAGCTCCCAACGACGCTATAGCAAAGAAATCACAATGTCAAAGAGGAGGAGCTGGAGGCAGTTCTGCGGGAGCGTTGAAAGTTCTCCGGAGATATCCAGACTCAACAAAATCCTCAGCAAAGACAATTCACCTCAACTGGGATGTCTAAAGCTCCCGGATGGAAGATACACTGAATCAACGGAGGAGACACTGAGACACTTGATGTCCACTCACTTTCCGGGATTCAGAGAGGATGTCACGATTCAGGGCAACGGAGACGAGGAACAATCAAGGGAACCTCGTGTGACCAAAGAATGGTCCCTCGCGGCCAGAATCGTACAACCGAGCGGGGTCAAATGGGCAATAGAAACCTTTGAGCCTTATAAGGTACCGGGACCGGACGGCATTTACCCGGCACTCCTACGGGAGGGACTGGAGGTGCTGACAGGTCCACTAATAAAAGTACTCAGGGCTAGTATAGCTCTGAGATATGTACCACAAACCTGGAGGGAGACGAGGGTAGTCTTTATCCCTAAACCAGGCAGAAACGGTCATATCTTGGCCAAAAATTACAGGCCGATCAGCCTTACATCATTTATTTTGAAAACAGTGGAGAGGCTGGTAGACAGATACCTGAAGACAGAACCCTTGGT